ATAACGGGGTAATAATTCCTTAGCGTTCGCCTTAAATTGATTCCAATTAGTCAATTGATATGAATCTTATTTCAGAGAGTGAATGCGACTACTAGAATTCATTTGAATATATAATCGATTATATCACTAATTCCAATTGTAGAAGTTTTCTCGAAAGGAATGACACCGAAAGAGTCTGATGGAATTTTTTTCGAAACAATTATTTTTTTAGAAAAATAAGGATTTTCAGAAAGATTTTTGAATAAGATTCAAAAAAAGGATTTCAAAAAAGATTTTTTTCAAAAATGAAATCATTTTCAAAAAACAATGGTAAAAATGTAGTATCCTTAAAGTCGCATTACAAGTTTCCCAGCAAAAATGTACTGAAAACGATAATGTTGTGTAGATGTGTAAAGTGACATATAATGACAGGGCATCGTTCCTCACTAAATATGAACAATGAATCTTTCCCCCTTCTTGCCCCTACAACAACTAGGAATCAAAATTTTGATTTCATTCGAAAGGAATCAAATAATTAGGGGTATTTCTGAATGACAAACAGTTTTCTCGATAACAAGCAATTAATGTTTTTTTTTTGAGAGTTATTTTACACAGTTTTAAAGTTCAGAGTTATTTCGCACATCAACAAATTTAAAACAACGACATCAGTTTGTTCGAACAATACCACAAATTGATGAATACTCGAACCTTGATAAGCACCCTTCTCGCATACAGCGAAACGCCCGATTCTTCAGTTGCACTTGCGAATTCCAGTGTTGACACACTATGTGATGGTATATACAATAACGCACTCACATTTATCGGGGCATCAATCTGAAAATTTTCGAATCCCATTCAGTTGAAAATCAGCATTTGCTTACCCTTATTTCATCAATGACAAAACAAACTAACGAACTGTGTTTCGGCTGAATCAAAGAAGGATTCCTCCATGAGTTGTCAATTACGATTCGATTACAGCTGATAATGAATATACAAATGTGTTAAAATAAATCAAGTACGAACGAATCATTATCACTACGTTGAGTGAATGAAATGTGAACAATATGTGCAAATTTTGAAAAATCAAAAAATGACTGAGCAGACCTTATAATGAATGGTGTATTGAGGTCGATCGGTAATCAAGTGTGGTAAGTGAGTTTTGGCGATTTGTTTGAAAAAAGTTTCGTGCATTTCAGTTGTCACCTCTTTTGGGGTCATTGTCCATATTGCGTTCAATGTATTAACACGTTCACCGTTCACTGTTATCGGCAATGTTATGAAATACGAATACTAAAAATTTTGATTGCTTATGATACGTGCGCGCATCTTAACACATCAACTCTCAATATATTGGAAGTGCATTCTTGATGCAACATCAATGAACAAAACGGGTTACGACTCGTTATTAGAATGAGAATATATCATTATTATAAGAGAATATCTTTATTAGAAAATAAGCAACGATAATACCTTATTGATAACATGAATAACACGCTTTGGATCGGCGAACTGATACGCATCTCCAGGTTTCAGCTCGATTTCGACTTTCGTTCCGATCGGTAACGTGTCCGTTTGTTCGATTGAATACTGATCGGAACTAAATATTGAGATTACTGTCAAAAAAAGTCATATATTATGTTTGGATAATCTCAATTAGCATGGTGCGGGGATCGGGGAATTTCGTGCACCCCGTCCAGACTTTTTTCACGACTCTAATCTCAGCTAATCACACGATGAAGGTGGTACAACGAATTATGCTAGAGAAGAATGATAACACTGATATTAAGGGTGTACGACAATCAGCTCCGTGACTAGAGCCACCCCGGCAATCAGCACCGCACAAGTCTACGATAACGCGTAAACCTGGTCACTGAACNAGCATACACTCGTGGAGAATCACAGCTGATGGCTGCACACATAGGTCAACAAATAGCATTAATTATCATCTATAATTGCATTATGCAAAGGAATTACTGAAGAGTAGTGAAAATTGCATCAGACATGAATCTTATTCAATTATTGACACAATATTGAAAATAACATTCCAGAACAATAATTCTAAAAAGCGAAAAGGCGTAACGAACCCGTTCCACTTCCAAACATAACCGACGTTATTACCCTCTTTACGAGTCGACACTGTAACGTTGTTGGCCACCATAAACGCTGAATAAAAGCCAACACCGAACTGTCCAATTATTGATTCTGCACTCGCCTTCGACATTTCTTCACCTTTCTGCTTCTCGACGAACTCTTTCGAACCTTTGAAAATCAATAACGATAACATTAACAGTGATCAGCGCAATGATTGATGTCAAGAATTAAATCAACATATATGATAGCACCACAAAGTAAATTTAACTGTCAAAACTAAAGACCTGATTTAGCGATGGTCCCAAGACATTTGATAAGATCATCCCGATCCATTCCAATTCCGTTATCTTCGAATATCAGTTTCTTCGCGTTTTCATCGGTCGTAATTTTGATTTCATAGGCAATATTCGAATCATCACCCGAAGTCAAATGAATGCAACGTCTTTTCTCGAGCGCATCACTCGAATTCGATACTAATTCTCGTATGAACACCTTCAATTAGAAACATTCTCTTTCGATACACCATTGTCATTATCGGCATCGAACCAGATGCTCTGGCTTATTGTATTCGCTGATCAATTCTTTTCATATGCTATGACGTATTTCCGATGATACTTAAAACTGTGAAAGAAATTATGCAAATTACTATCGAGTAGTGAAGAATTGTATTATGCAAATCTCTGTGTAGGGATCCTATCATAAATCATAACAAAACATGCTTAAATAAAGGACTTTCTCTGTTCTCGTATACAAAACCGAATGGGAAAGGCCAAAACAAACATCCACTATATCTACTGTCCATATTAAACTTCGCGATGAAAAGCCCACCTCTTGGTCAGAATAAAGTGACTTCGCGACTATATCCAACAAATTTTTCGTTTCAGCTTGAAATTCAAATTTTTCGGCAGATTTCTGTGCAGAATCAGCGTAGTAACGCACGTTCCGTAGATTAAGCTTGGAATACGAAGTAGAAGGTAAATAAGATAGAGAAGCAGCATAACGCGATGATAATCTACGGAATACCGGTAGACAGGAACGCACTGATAACATTGAACGCAACATCTTCGTTTTACCTTAATTGTTTCATTTTAACATTGGTCATATTAAATTACACAAAACCTGGTTGATCTCCTGAATAAGAAGTTTTGACAATAGATTCAACGAATCGCTAGGAAATCTCAGAATCCCCACCAACAAAATCCATCGAAAAATGAAATTTTACCACGTAGCACCTCGAAACAACTGAATATTGTAGAACTTCGTGATGACAAGACGAACTCACTCGATGCCAACCATTTACTTCACTGATAATGATGAGTGTAATTCACCGCGCAGATGTGAACTGCACCTCAGTAGAATAAGATGGGAGAAACGGTTAAGTGAAAAATTTTAATATTTACAAATGAATATTCTATAATACATTGCACATTCATTCAGTAGTTCACATATAAGAGTTAAATGTATATTACACGATCGATAGCAGCAACCTGTTTGCATTTCAAATTTCATCGCAATGCAACATAGGTTTCGCGATATNTCTATAATACATTGCACATTCATTCAGTAGTTCACATACAAGAGTTAAATGTATATTACACGATCGATAGCAGTAACCTGTTTGTATTTCTAAATTTCATCGCAATACAACATAGGTTTCGCGATATGAATCAAATGATGATCAGCTCTAAATGAATATGTATGAAATAAATGTATATGCGAGGTATTTATAATGAGAATGAACACACTGAATAAAACTGATGATGCATTGATTTAATTAGTCAAGAAGCTTGCGTTTCAATGAGAATCGAACCAGCGATTNAAGAAGAGTGAATGCAATCAAACAACAGCACTGAATGGAATCAGCAAACTATCAACTCTAAACAACAACATTCAAAAGCAATCAACAATCACAACAAAACAGCTATTGCTGCACAAATGAGATGATCAGCAATGACAAATAACCACATACGGCATCAACAACACACTAATGGAATGCAAAAATTCACGTGACAACTAAAACAAACCATCACAAATGAATGCAACTAATGGAAGTGCACCTTTTTCGGAGTATCGATCGAGGTGAGTAACTGCTCAAAGTTTCGACAATAATCAATACTGTTCTGCTGCATCATCATCTCGAACGAATACTTCACATCTTCCGGCAAACTGCTATTACCTTTAAACGGTGACATATCCAACGACACTGAATTTGTCGCTGCTGAAACTGAACTATTCGCACCAACCAAGTCGACTGCACTCAGTTCGGTTAACGTTTTGTTTCGATTAGTATCGTTATTAGCACCAGGATGATAGACGCCATAATTGTTTAACGGTGCTGCACTCGGATCAGAGTTATTCAAACGAATCACTTCGTTGGGTGAATACTCATCGTGTTGCTGTGCGACAGCAGAAGATACTGCTGACGGTTGTAGTTGATATAAGTCGGCAGGAATATTCTGATGTTGGCTGGCGATATTGTCGAGAATAATCGACGTTGAGGGTGCGATTGATGAGAAGTCGACAGCATTTTGATAGCAGAAATTATTGTCGTTGAGGTTGGCTGACGTTACGAGTGAATTTGATACGTTCACATTGGTGACCATATCGAATCTGTTGTTAGTGTAAGCGATGTTGTGTGATCCACTTCCATAAATATTATTTTTGTTGTTGGTGTTGTTCGATGCATTTCGAGGCAATGCAATTCGCTGCAATTTATTCATTTTCTTTCATTTCATACTGGTATCAGTAAACGAATGAAAAGGCAGTCATACATGCCAATTCGCAATGGGGAGGGGAAAGAGAGGCTACCGTTTCAGTCAATGACTCATATCAATATAAACCTTAACATGCCTAAGCCAACCTTCCAATCTCCAACATATTTGTTTCATCACAAATATGTTAATTATTGCAAAAGTTATATTCACAAACATCATCATCACTTTTTACAAAGGTTCAGTCCTTCTAGATGATTGACTACAAAATAAATGTAAACTGAACTTGAAAAGGTATTCATGTGAAAACATTGACGAATATAGCACTAACAATTTACTGTAACGGTCAATGGAACCAATCATATTGGAAACGATACTGCGATGAAACGAAACGAAACTTAGATAATCAATACAAACAATAAATAAGCAAACGAACAAAAAATAATAAACTGGAGGATGAATACGTGAATACGAAGAAAGTGAAGTAACCTTGGGTTGTGTTCGTTGGGTATATGCTTTACAGCGTTTTTTGGTTTGTAAACTCTCCAGTTGTAACATGAACGCGTTATTCTCTGACTCAACCACCGGAGCGCATTGATTCGAATTTACATTCGAATTATTATCGGCTGCTGAAGTATTGTTCTCAGTGCTATGAGCATTAATTATTGCAATCGACTTAGAAGTTGACGAGAGTGCCGTTTTTTGTGAACTTGTAGCATTACTGCTGGTAGTGCAATTATTGGTATCATTGGAATTGGACGATGATGTACGCCTTTTACGACTTCGATCTTCCACAGTCACCATCACCGGTTGCACCTCATCTGTACTCTCCGGTTCGGCCATTATCTAAATCTCATTTTATCACAGTGAACATCTGAAAAGAGTGGGGCATCGGAATGCAGAGCTTTAATTTGGAGGGGTGCGATTGTTAGAGTTGACAATAAATGATGTGATAAATTTTCATTTGTTTATTAATATCTTTCTGAATAAATTCTAAAGTGTCAATAGACTTGACTAGAAATTTAATAATTACCTTTGCAAAATTTTCACCGTAATTGCGAGTGATCAATGATACGAACACATTCCAGGGTTGGACGTCTCGATTCTTGGGACGATTTATTGAATATTGCAGAGAAATATTCTGTTCCATTCCACACTTCAAAAGTCATAAATAATAATCACTCGTACAATAACAATAATAACAATGCGATTTGACTCAGTCAAAATCTGCTGTCAACGATGACACTGTAAATTCTTCCTAGAGAACAGTTCTTCGCTCACCATTACAAANCCATTCCACACTTCAAAAGTTATAAATAACAATCACTCGTACAATAACAATAATAACAATGCGATTTGACTTAGTCAAAATCTGCTGTCAACAATGACACTGTAAATTCTTCCTAGAGAACAGTTCTTCGCTCACCATTACAAATGAATAATGTATCTAACGAAGATAATTCTGCAAAAAAATTTATCTCAAATTAAAGATGGATAAACGAACAATATAAAATAATTCAGTGACAGTCGCATCTCCAACAGAATTTTCGTTTAAGCCGGCACGTAATGTGACTTCATTTAGTATAAACGAGTTCGTTTCTTTAGTTGAATCCTTCGAAAGCATATTTGTTATTTCTTGATTTGCATCTGCAATATTATTGCTCTAACAAATATTATTATTGCATCAATGATTACTGTTATCTTCATCACTAACAACTGCTACTGCAACATCGAATTTGTATACCCTAATCACAAATATTGTTCATGTGCGCACGGTATTTTCAACAAAAAAGAGTCAAATGCTAATCTATCCTATTCATAACCCAGTCAATTTTTTCTATTCACAATCAGACGTTTCACAATACCACACAAGCTATGCTATTCTTAACTGCTATAAATTTATGAGTAATAAACAACACTCATCAGAAATTCAACAACATCAAAAGAAATTTACTCAGCGAACAATATTCGATAATCATGACTGAAGTTGAACTAATATGATCTAAGTTATAAGAGCCGTAACAAAATGATACTGATAAAAACGAATGAAGATGACCAGAATGGGCTGCGTCACAAGCCGAAGTCAATCGCGCCGTAGTGGCACTGTCACTATGATTGCTGTGCTCATCTGTATCGTCTGCACAACGCTGAATCCGTTCTTTTCGCAATCTTCAATGCACGAATTCAACTTCAGCACATATCTTTGTTATCATTCTCGTCAACGAAAAACTTTTGATTACGTCGTACTTCATGCAATCTTTCATACTGAATTTGAATGAACAACATTCATAACGATTGCGACACAAAACATAAAATATTTAGGGAGAAGAAACGATGCTTTTGTTCAAGATCTTCATTTCCATCTTCAGGAATGCAAAATCGAATACAAAACAATCAAACAGACCTATTCATAGAAAAAATATTTGAACCAGAATCCTCAACATGTCGTACGTACAATCGACCAAGACGAGTACTTTTATCCGGAAATATACTCACGCTGAATGATGACCCTTTCCAACTCGAATCAACATCATCAAACTGCAAATGATTCCTAATTATCATTCTTTCCCGACAAATGTAATACAAATAAAAACTGTTCAAAGCATCTTTTACATAAAAAGGAAAGCTCCAAGGACAGCCACATTACTACATAAACAAACAGCCAATAAACTAACGAAGACATTATAATATTCATCTGAATGAACGAACCGCTTTCTGCAGCGGGTGAGTCCATTTGATTTTGAGCAATTTGAAGATCGATTTGAGTTGATCATTCAGCNTCAAAGCATCTTTTACATAAAAAGGAAAGCTCCAAGGATAGCCACATTACTACATAAACAAACAGCTAATAAACTAACGAAGACATTATAATAATCATCTGTATGAACGAACCGCTTTCTGCAGCGGGTGAGTCCATTTGATTTTGAGCAATTTGAAGATCGATTTGAGTTGATCATTCAGCAAAAGTTTGATACGTATCAGCGCATTCTGCCCACAAGACTCAACGTAATTTCGATCGGATTCATTCTTTGGTGATAAATAAATGAAAATGTGCGACGGCAGAGGCTGTTCTGCTTTTTGACCTTAATCATACATTCGTTCATTTGAATCTTTTGACGACTTCAGGTTTCACCTGACCAAGGATAACTTCAACTAATGATTGAATCTATTCACTGATTTTTATTCAAACGTACCGATTAATCAACACTGATAGTGAATGAAAACTTGATCGTTGTAGGGAATAAAACCTCACAACAAACACACTTTTATGATGGAAATCTTTCGTGCATATTGTTTTCATATAAGATACAACACCGCAGTGATCATAACTAAAAAACAAGAATTAAAAATGAGATAAACATGAAAAACAACTTGGGAATAATTTCTGTAGAGCTGGACATACTGGTGTTCGTATAGGTACTGCTGGTTTCTTTTTTCTTTTCACTGACGTCCATCTAAATAAAAAAGAATCGAGCAAAAATTTTACATCAGTTCGTGAATATTCTGTTCGAATATTCCAAAAAAAGCGATGTTCGTAAAATAATCTCGCAAACACATTACAATGGAATGTTTCCACTCGTTGGTATGTCGAAACATAATCAACTCAGAAACGATAATCACACTTTTTATTTAGAAAAGAAGGAGTTTAAATCATAAGGAAAACTTAGAAGAAGTATGCCCCTGCCCTGCCAAGACAGTTCTTTCTTAGGAGATCGCCGCTTCATTTCGGTTCTTCTCCTGCTTAAACACCAGTCAGCTCGGCTCGGATTAGTTTATAGATTTGCTCTCAGGCTCAGGTGAATAAGGGTCGAAGGCCACATNACAATAAACAATTCACGTGCATCTCGTGGTAAATCCGCCAGTAATGCTACAATGTATACACATTACAACTAACTGACCACTTAATCATTTCAATCGAATGACATTTGTACGCGAAAATTAATTAAAGAAGATTACTGAAAAGTTTACACAATAAAATTCACAATGAGCGATTTATCGTTTTTGCAATTAAAATACGAAACAAAGTTGCTGAAAACGCCAACAGTTCAATAAAACAATGAACGAAACAACAAACTTTCATCGATCATAACAATCGAACGAAGTAATTTGAACGAGTTGAAATAATAATTACGGATTTGCTCCTTATCCTTATTCATCTTTCGTCGACTCATCAATTTCGCTATCTGATCAAAATCCTTTCCAAACTGCAAACAGAATATCACTACTTATTTGTTCACTCATAATTTTTGATTCATAAACTAATGAAGCCAATGAATACTGCAATGATACCATTGAATAAAATGCAACGATCAACGATAACTTCATCTCACCTGCTTAATGCCTTCATAAAACAGACTGGTCTCGGTGTTATTCCACTGTCCCCATTTACGTGTGGTCTTCGCATTATTTGAAGATGATTGTTGAGTGGTCGTTGTTGTTGAAGTATTATTATTAGTAGTTGAAGTAGTCGATACAGACGCATTCAAATCACAATTACTATCAGTTGTTGTGGAGTGCGGTGTTAGTGATGGACATGCTGATATGTCGGCGACACTGACACTCTTATCGGTTTCGTTAGCAGTGATCTTACTGTCAGTGTTGGTGTCGTTGTTGTTGCCGTGAGACTGAGAGAGTGA